GGTGGGAGTCTCTCCAAGCTGGCCCTTTTCAATATTCTAAAACAAGTTACCTGCTTTCTCCAGGACCTGTTCCTTGTCCAGAAATCCTTATCCAATCCCAATCCACCCGCTCCCCAGCTGGAAACCCAGGAAACACCATCTCCCCACCTTTACGCTCTGAGCATCGGAACTGGATTAATTGGGCTGGGCTGGGCTGTGCGGCTGGTGTCTGTCTACTCACCTCTGCCTGGGCTCCTGGGGCAACTTCCGGGGCCTTCACACTCCCTGAGAGGCTGTTTGCAGCACAGAGAAAGCTGACTCTGACCCTCTCATGTCCTGCAGATCTGGGACCTGCCCCTTCCCCTTCGAAAATGCCTGCACCACTCCTTGGCGCTCTGAACATCAGCTTTGCAGCCAGTTCCCCGGGCCCTTTCTAGGCAACAACTACTCAGCTCGAGGTCCGCTTCCGCTCCAGAGTCTGCTCAGACAATGCTACTCCAGAGTCCCTTCTTATTTTTCTTGGATTTTGCACACCCCTCCACGATAGCACATGGCACTATATTGTCAGTTTTAGGGGTGTGGTGTCCACACTTGTAATCTCGGCACTCGGAGGTTGAGGCAGGAGGATTACAATTCAAACCCAGCCTGGGCTATACAAGTGAGTTCAAGGCCAGCCTGAACTACACACTGAGGCCCTATCTCAAAGAAAAAATAAAACAGAAAAAAGAAAAAGATACAGGGGCCAGGATTTAGCTCAGTGGTGGTGCCGCCTACCTCACAAGTGCAAGGACCCAAGTTTGATTCCCAGTACAAAAAAAAAAGTCCTAATTTTTATATTCCTATCTATCTCCCCATCTACAATGAAATAATTCCCTTAAATGTCTGTAGAGTGACAGGGGCAGTTTCAAAAATACCTGAGGAAGGGGCCGGGGATTTAGCTCAGTGGTTCCGCCACCTGCCTCACAAGCACAATAATCCAAGTTCGATATCCAGTATCGAAAAAAAGAAAAAATGATGACACCACCAACGCATTAAAGTAGAACAACATTTTACAGAAAAACTGTATGGAGAAGATTGGCTCAAAGTTTGCAGAATATTAGCATAAACACTGTGGAGAATTTAGGGCCAGCTCTTAAGCAGTAAAATGTAGTAAAGGGGGCCAGGGATTCAGTTCAGTGGTTCTTCCACCTGCTCCAGAAGTGCAAGGTCCCAAATTCAATCCTTGGTACAAAAAAGAAAAAAAAAAAATCAGAAGCCTTGGGCATGAATTCCAATCCTGTCACTTGTGAGCCAGGTTACTCTAAGTTACTTAACCTACATATCAATTTCCTTGCCTAAAAGAATAGGCTAAATAGTACCTGCTAAACTGGAAGTAGTGGCCCACGCTCACCTCTAAACCCAGCACTCTGCCCCGGTACCACAAAAATAAACAAACAAACAAACCCAACACTCTAGGAAGCTGAGGCAGGAGGAGGATCACAAGTTCTAACCCAGCCTTGGTAATTTAGCAACTTAGCAAGACACTGCCCCAAAATTTAAAAAATGAAAAACAAAAAAGGGGTCAGAGATGCTGCTCACTGAAAAGGCCCTAGGTTCAATCCCTGGTACCACAAAAAAAAGCCCTTGCTTGACTGCACTAGTTTAGCCAACAGGACAATGGTGGCACCAGGCCCTACACAGCAGAATTCTTTGTTTTTGGTACTGGGGATCTAACTTGGGACCACTGTGCTTGCAAGGCAGGCAGCAGAACCACTGAGCTAAATCCCCAACCCTAGAGCAGGATTCTTGAGCTGTTAACAAAGGCTAATCCTTTCCTAAGTGCAAAACACTGGTAAAAAGCCCAAGGTCACACGTTCTGGCTTGGGGAAGGAACACTTTCCAGTCTTCTAACACCTTGACCACACCCTGAAGCCTAGCCAGCCAGCTTGCAGAAGGTCAGGAAGAAGACCTAGAAAAAGACAAGCATTCAATCCGATGTCCCAATGTGGTCACCAGTGTTGATGTTGTTTGGGTTTAGCTTTTTGAGCCAAGGTCTCCCTATGTAGTGCAGCCTGGCCTGGAACTCACTGTGCAGATCAGGCTGGCCTGAGCTTGCTGTCCTCCTCCTGCCTCAGCCTCCTGAGTGGGATGACAGGTGGCACCACCACACCCAGGGCATTACCACTGTTAAGAAACAGTTCGCACACCTGTCCTACACACAGCATCATCCTGGGACATGAAAACTGCGCACGTAGGCTATGGCATGAACACAGTGTAAACAAGGAGGCCTGGAATGCAGGTGCCTGTAGAGAATGAACTTAGTCATGGGGCTGCTGCTGGGTGCAAGGAGCACACCATGATGCACTATGTAAATAACAAAGAGCAAGGAGGTTAAAGAAGTTGGCTGCAAAGCACAAGAGAGAAGCACAAGAATCCAAGGTGATCAATGAGTGGGACCAAAAATCCCCACATGTAAAATCTTCTTGCAGAGCAGTGGCGCACACCTATGATCCCAGCACTTGGGAGGCTGAGGCAGGAGGATTCCCATGAGTCCAAGGCCAGCCTGGGCTACACAGTGAATTCAAGAGCAACCTGAACTACAGAGAGAGGCCCCATCTAAAAAAAAAAAATCGCCAGGTGTGGTGGGGCACACCTGTAATCCCAGCACTTGGGAGGCTGAGGCAGGAGGATCACTGTGAGTTTGAGACCAGACTGGGTTACATAGTGAGTTCCAGGTCAGTCTCAACTACATAGTGAGACCCTGTCTCAAAAAAAAAAAAAAAAAAAAAAAAAAAATCAATGTCACCTACCATATCAGTGATACAAGTGTCCACCAACAAAGTAACACAAAGGCAAAAGCGTTACAAGTGTCTCTGGTAAAACCTGCTCACTTAATCCCAGAATTTTAAAAATCAGATCAAAACATTTTTTTTTAAACTTTAAAGAAAATTTTCCAAAAAACTTTTTGTTCTAGGTTCTGCTAAGAATAAAATGGCCAGTTATAATGGGGCCAGGGATTTAGCTCAGTGGCACCATGTCTACCTCTTAAGAGCATGGTCCTGAGTTCGATCCCCAGTACCAAAAAAAAAAAAAAAAAAGGCCAGTTATTGAACTGTCCTTTTATTTCAAGCCAACCGATTTGTTAAAGTTAACTGTATCTTCATCTTACATTGGTGAATTTAATTTTTCACATTCATTTTAAGATTCTGTTGACCTTGAAAAGTTTCTTCCATTTCTTCCACAAAGATTACATGTTTTCCTTATATGGTCACCAAAGAACGTATAACTTCTTCCAGAACTGGGAAGAGGCATGTTTGAGATTAGATGAGATCTTAACATGGTCTGTATTGTATGCTCTGTTGACTTGAAAATAAATTTCTTGGTGAAATTTTAAATATATACAGTAAAAGTCTCTAACACAGAGGCTACTTAGAGATCATAAGGAGAAAGAAGTAATTTCTGGGTGTAAGAGAGTACTGAAAAACATAAGACTCTACGTTAAGAGAAATTACTCATTAAAATTAGTATTTTTAAAAAATTTAATTAATATTAAAGAATAGGGTAGGAGATTTAGCGCAGTGGTTCCGCTGCCTGCTTCACAAGCACAAGGTCCTGAGTTCGATTCCCAGTACCAAAAAATAATAATAATATTAAAGAAAAAGGGAGAGTACTTTTAAGAACTACTAAAGGGTGTCTAGAGAGTTCTTTTGGTATTTCCTGAGTGAAAAAAATTGCTCGATAATTTTCTTTTCTTTTCTTTGGTACCGGGGATTGAATTTGATACCTTGCACTTTCAAGGCAGGCCACAAAACGAACCACTGAGCTAACCAATGAGCTAAATCCACGGCCGGATATTTTTGTTTTTTAAGGTTCCATTCCTGATGTACTTGAGGAAAAAAAGCAGTAACACAGAATGAGCAATTGTGACTTTCTAAACAACCAAGCATCACAATCAATAAAATTTGCCTCCTGTCCTACCTGACCCTTAACCCAGGACGCATGCTCTATCCCTAGAGAATTCTAATGACTAAGTAAACACACTGACTACAATGTAGCTAAAAAGCAGAGTATGCGAGAGACTTCAGAGTCCAACCAATCTGATGGATGACTATTTTTATAACATTGCAAGGAAGTTTATGCGAACCAGAGGAAGAAATGAGGAGGTAGCCCAAGAGGGCTCAGCCAGCTGGGATCGTGAAAAGGAATCTCCTTATTTGTAAAAAGGCTGGGGAAAGTCTATAGGATCACAGGAAATTCCTTGGATCCTAATTACTACTGTTTTACAACAATCTTATTTATTAAGCAATCCCCACCACATCAAGGAGGGGTCTGTATGGCCCCCCTCAGACAAGATAATGGCAGAGTTTACAAAGTCATTTGCTTCCATTTGCTCACCCATTTCGGTCTCTGCTCAAGCAAAACACGTTGGAAAGGGAAAAGAAGTAGGAAAAGGTATAGTGAAAGAAAAGCACACCAGAAGTCATCAGTGATCTGTTAAATTACTAGAATTTTAACTGGAATCTGCTAAACATATGAAAAAATATATATTTTGTTAAATATCAAGGCATGTGTCTGTAAGCCACCTCTTAAACACAAAGGCATGTATAAGCAACTTATACAATGAAATATCCACACATATTTGCGGTGTCAAACACTTTCTTTAAAAACATACATCCAAACATTCTGAATCCATCCAAATTATTCTTTAAATTCCTAAACACACACACACACAATTTTCCATGATTTGAACCTAGCCTTTCTTTCCAAAATACCCTTTTTTTAAAAAGGCACAACTCAAGATGTTCTCTTCTTCAGACCCTAGGACGACAAAAAGCAAACAGAGCTCCCAATGAAAAAAGAAGGCAACAGAATAAAGGAGAATAAAACCAGAAACCTCCCAGATTCATTTTATTCTTGAAAAATGTCATCTCCATTCCTTCTCCAAGCCCCAAAGCCCGGCACCTCTGGCGCAATATCATCCCCATCCAAAGCGCCAAAGAGTTGCCAACTAATTCCCTCGAGGCGTCCCCCAGCCAGCTCACCTCATCAGCGCTCAGCTCCTCCATCGCTTTCCTCTTAATGGTGACAGGCGTTAGGAGAGGTCCTTCTGTTCTCGAGACCAGGGCGGGAGCAAAGCGAGGGGAAGGTGTCTAGCAGGCTGTCTGGTCCCCCGTATGGGGGAGGTTTCAGAATTGCATAGTCAGAGGTTAAAAAATAAGAACACGAGGCACTGAATTGCCTTGACTGGGTCGCTCCCGTCGCCTCTGAGACTCCCTCAGCTGCTCGCGCCCCCAGCAGCCGCCTCTGGCCGCCGCTGCGACAGGGTGAGCAGAAGGCGCCACTCGCTGTCCTCACCGCCCAGGTTACCCTGAGGGACGGCGCGGTCTCCAGCTCCTCTCGCGCCCACAGCCTGCGTGTGGCGGCGCTGCAGCTGCGTCTTCTTCAGCGAATCCTGCTCTCTCCTTCCGACCCTCGGCCTCTGGCGGGAACGACTCCACCGCACAGTGGATGCCCCGAAGCAAAGAGACCCCACAGCCGCCCTGGCGGAGCCCTGCGCTGTACAGAAGTCCCTCCCTTCTAAAAGCAGGCCGGACACGCCCCTCCTCCACGCTGGAACCCGGGCCGGGGGGAGGGGGAGGATGGACTCGCGATGCTCTCGTTGGAAGCGTAAATCCTCCTACCCCTCCACCCCTACTCTTACCCCTCTCACCAAGTATTATTCATCAAAACAACAGGGCGGCCATCTTTGAAGGGAATCACGTGACCCAGTCGGGGGGCGGGGCTTCGGGCTCCAGGACGCAGCAGCCAATAGGCGGAGGGCGTCGCACCTCCGATTTCCTCTCGCCTGCGTAGTCTCCCCGCCCTCTCCCCATCCCTTCGCAACGCGGCCGTACTTGGCGGGGGAGGGGTGAGAAGGGCTGCGGGCGGGGCGGGGCGTTGCCGTGGCGACCGTGCTGGGGGCGGGGGCGGGGTGCCGACCCAGGTAGGCTAGCTGGGAAGCCAAGGCGGCGGCCTCAGGGTGGCTGAGTGGCCTGAAGGGGGCGTGCTCGGCGCCTCCGCTATTGGCGGGCGCCTGCTGTGTAGTAACGTGAGCCTCCGTCACCCACTGCTGCCTGGACGCTGCCACCTGGGAAGAGCCAAGGGAGGACGTGTCCTTTCCGCAAGGAGCGTCAGCTTTCGTTCCCGCCCCGCCCCCGGGGACCGATTCAAGGAGAGTAGCTCGAGGACTGCCATTCAATTTTATCTTACTTTGGCCCTTTTTTTAAAGAGATGCTTTCGAAGGCCCTGGCACACCTATAATCCCAGTACCGGGGAGGCTGAAGCAGCCGGATAGCTATGAGTTCAAAGCCTCCTTGAGCTAAATAATAGTAAATTGAAGGCCAGCCGAGCAAGACCCTATCTCAAATAAAAAAAAAAAACAGAATGTATACAAAACTGAATTGAGTGGTTGGTCAGAGTAATAGTAACATGAAGTTTCAGATACTGTGTTGCCGCAGGTGGAGAATATATTGTATCGGGCGGTTTGCTAAACCATAACCTTTTTTTTTGGAAACAGTTGCACTAAATCGTGCATGCTGGCCTTGATCTTGATCCTCCTACCTCAGCCTCCCCGGTGCTAGAGTTAGAAAAGAGCAACTCCACGATGCCCAACCTAAAACATAATCTCGTGTGTGTGTGTACGGGGGATTAAACTCAGGACCTTGAGCTTGCCAGGCAGGCGGTGGAAGCACTGCGCTACATCCCTCGCCCCTAAACCATAATCTTAAAGGTTCCATTCCAGAATTAAAAGTTACAGTTTATTTGCTACATGCTAGATAAGTACTTAGCTACTAGATATGTAAGGAATTTGTGAGTAAAATTAGACCGCTGCTGTTGAGGCCTTATCTGCTTTCCAGGAAAGGAATTCTGTGAATCTGGACAGATCCTGCCCAGCTGGAGACCCAAAGCAGGGAAACTGGTTCCCAGAAAGGTGCCCAACGGGAAAGGTGTTCAAGGGCAAGACTGGCAGCCACCAAGAGAGAGGCTCAAAATCTTCCTGGGGAGACAGAGGCCTGGGGGGGTTAGAGGAAGGGGGAACAAAGGTGAAGGATGAGGGGGTTTGCTGGTACTGTCACTGTTAAAAGGCAGCCGGGTGTGGTGGTGCACACCTGTCATCCCAGCACTCGGGAGGCTGAGGCAGAAGGATCACTGTGAGTTAGAGACCAGTCTGGACTACATAGTTCCAGGTCAGTCTCAACTACATAGTGAGACCCTGTCTCAACCCCCCCCCCACAAAACAAAACAAAACAAAAACCCGAACAAGCCGGGCGTGGTGGCACACGCCTATAATCCCAGCACTCAGGAGGCTGAGGCAGTAGGATCTCTGTGAGTTTGAGACCAGCCTGGGCTACATAGTGAGTTCCAGGTCAGTCTCAACTATATAGTGAGACCCTGTCTCAAAAAACCAAAACAAACAAACAAACAAAAACCCAAACAAAAAAAGGCATTATCCAGGGCCAGGGATTTATCTCAGTGGCACAGCATCTGCCTTGCATGTGCAAGGTCCTGAGTTCAATTCCCGATACCAAAGAAAAAAATTATCCAAGGATACAGGCTTGAAATCTCAGCAATCAGGAGGCTGAGGCAGGATTGCCTTGAGTTTGAGGCTAACATGATCTACAAGGTGAGAAAGAACCTGTCACCAAAAAACAACAACACAAACATGAATAGTCAAGGAATACAGAGAAGGGAGGTTTATTGCTAGACTGCAAGGGAACAGTGGATGAAGCCTAGTGAGGACAACAGTGCCCAAGGTGACAGGCTGAAATTATTATGTCAGATTTTAACATGAGAAAGGCTCCAGATACCTTGTCCCAAAGCATTTTCATCAGGTCACTGTAGCTCTACTGCCATCCCTCTCAGTTTGGGATAGGCAGGTGTTGAACAAAGATGGAGGGCTTTTGTTTGATTTTGCTGTTCATTTTATCTTCTTACTTCACATCTACTCACTCAACACTCGATATTTTTATACTTTTATACCTGGCCGGGTGTGGTGGTACACACCTGTGATCCCAGCACTGGGGAGGCTGAGGCAGGAGGATCCCTGCAAGTTTGAGCTCAGCCTGGACTACATAGCAAGACCTTGTCTCAAAATAAGTACAAGGCAGGGAATTTAGCTCAGTGCTTCTGCCGCCTGCCTCCTGAGCGCAAGGTTCCAAGTTCCATCCCTGATACCAAAAAAAAAAGAAAGAACATAATGAATTCACATTTGCATAATGATTACATTTATCATGGGGAGGTGTGCATGTACAGAACACATCGTTTTTTTGTGTGTTTTTCATTGTTGTTGTTATTGTTTTTGTTTTTGGTACCAGGGATCAAACTCAGGAACTTGTGCTTGCAAGGCTGGCAGTGGAACCACTGAGACTGAGCTAAATCCTGGGGCCTACAGGACGCATCTTGATTCTTTTCTCTTCTTAATTCTTTTTCTTCCATTCTCCTCCCCACCTTCCATCTCCTTTCCCTTCCCATTTCTAAAAGATCTCCCTACTTGCTATAATCTTTTATTTTGCTCTATATTTACATTTTGGCTTTCTCATATAAGAGAACCCATGCAATATCTAGGCTGATGTGTCTGATTTATCACATTATGGTGAGGATGTGCATCCACTTACCTATAAATGCCTCGTTTATCCTTTTAATGGCAGAGTAGTACTCCATTGTGTGTAACTATCACATTCTCTTTACCCATTTATCTGTTGATGGATATACAGGTGGCTTCCAAGATATAGCTGTTGAGTTGGGCTGCTGTAAGACTAAGTGTGTAGGAATCACTGAAATATGATGTGTTTGGGGTTTTTTTCCCAGTACTAGGGGTCAAACTCAGGACCTTTGCACTTGTCAGGCAGTCATGCTGCTGCTGAGCTACATCCCCGGACCTGAAATATGATGTCTTTAACTGTCTTGGGAAGATACCCAGCAGGGCACTAGCTGGGTCAGGAGGAATTTCTACTTTTAGTTTTTGGAGGAATTTCCATGAGCTCTCCACAGTGGCTATAGTAGTTTACACGCCTGCCAGCAATGAAGAAGTCTCCTTTCTTCCCTGCATCCTGGCCAGCATTGATTATTACTTGATTTCTTGCTAATGGCCATTTCTTCCGGCTCTGTGTTGAGGCCATCTCAGGACTGGTTTGGGAAGAGCCACTCTCCCTTAGCGGCAGTGAGGTCCCTGGAATGAGATGGGGGTGCCTGCTCAGGGGGGTGGCTCCCCTTCTCATCCCTCATGAGGGCTCCAGCTTGGGGAGGGGATCATCTCCGTATGGTGTGGTCTTTGAGGCTCTGCTATTCCCAAGGTGACTGCAGGATTGGGACAATGATTGCAGCTGGGCATGGTGGCCTACATCTTGTAATCTCAGTACTCAGGAGGCTGAGGCAGGAGGATTGATGTAAATTCAAGGCCAGCCTGAATTATGTAGCCTCAGCCTGACTCAACCAATCAATCAATCAATAGAAGTACTCCCAAGGGTCTGGAGCGGGACTTGGTAGAAGCTGGCAATCGATGCTTTAGTTACTCTTTTCTTTGTGTTGTCAGCCTTCAGGGGGACAAAAGCCTCTGTAAATTCAGGGCCGATGAGCCTTGAACAGCAGATGCTCCTAAGAGGCAACCACGCCCATGCACAGAGCAGGGCTGGTAAAGATCTGACCGGAAGCCTCGAAGTAATAAATCAGACACCACAGTTGGGCGTGGTGGCGCATGCCTGTGATCCCAGCACTGGTGAGGCTGAGGCAGGAGGATCGCTGTGAGTTTGAGACCAGCCTGGGCTACAGTGATTTACTAAAGATCTGACCGGAAGCCTCGAAGTAATAAATCAGACACCACAGTTGGGCGTGGTGGCGCATGCCTGTGATCCCAGCACTGGTGAGGCTGAGGCAGGAGGATCGCTGTGAGTTTGAGACCAGCCTGGGCTACATAGTGATTTACAGATCAGTCTCAATTACAAAGTGAGACCCTGTCTCAAAAAACAAAACAAAACAAAAAAACCAAAACAAGGGCCAGGAATTTAGCTCAGCGGTTCAGTGGCCTTCCTTGCCAGCCCAAGGACGTGAGTGCAATCCCCTGTACTGAAAAGAAAAAAAAATAAAGCAAAATAAGACACCGCAGTGAGAGCGGAACCGCCAAGCTTTCAGCCTCTCCGGTCACCCGCTGGGCATGCGCAGGCCCCGCCTCCAGCTCCTCCTGCGTGACTCGGTCCTTCCTCACTGCCACGCAGTCTCGCCCCACATGGTCCACCCGCCTCAGATGTACAGGCACGTTGGGGTGGGCACAGACTTGGTCCACCGTCACTGCTCCCTAATTTCGCGATATTTTCACAAAAGAAACCACCACGAAACCATCAACAGTTGCCCCTCATATCCCCTCACCTCCGACCTTTGGGAGGGGGGTGTTGGTTTTTGTTGGTTGCTTGTTTGGTTGGGGGGGGGTTGTTTTGTTTGTTTTTTGAGACAGGAACCTCGCTATGCAGCCCAGCTGGCCTTGAAGTCACAATGATCCTCCTGCCTCAGCCTCCTCAGTGCTGGGATGACAGGCGTGCGACACCTATGCCCACTGTCTTTTCAGTTTCTTAATATCATTTGTAGCACAAAATCTTTCTGGTTTTTTTCTCCTATCATTAGTGCTATCTGTAGAATATAACCACTTATACAAACTGTAATTATTCACTTTTAAAATATCCTAAGAGGCCTGGGGATTTGGTTGTGTCGCTGCCTGCCTCTCAAGCACAAGGTCCTGAAT